CTTCAGGCAGTCACGTTTTGCTAAGTCTGATCTTTTAGCCCTAGACGTCCCATGATATTTTGTTGACAATAATTCGAAATGAACAGGATTGGTAACATGCCGAGTTTCTGACAAAGTTTGACCAAAACAACAACAAAAAACACTACGGTACCATTTAATCATTAAAAATAAGAATTTCTTTTTCTCACTTTTCTTCATTAGCTTACTTAGCTCAGTAGGGAGCGCGTCGGATATGTAATCAATGGGTCACTGGATCGATCCTCTGGCAACGTGAAATTGAGTCTAATGGTCATTTGTCTATCATCGCTGATTCAGTAATCAGATAGGATCAGTAGCCGGTGACATGCGGAGACATTATATTGTTAATCACTGGTTAGTAATTCAGGAAAGCCTGTTAGGTGGAGAAATGCCAAAACAAATGTGTTATAATGGTGTAAAAATCGGAAAACAATCAAACAGACTTATATATCATATTTTGCAAGAAACAGCTGAAAAGTACATGTGTAGATACAAATGTTTTTTGTATGTTTATCACTTTACATGATTTGTAAATGCCAATCTACATCTAGATTATGTTAGTACCATCATTCAGAAATAAAGCTCAAAGAACCAAAATATTTGGTTGATGAAAGTTTTTCCATTTTTAAGCGGGTTTTCACATCAACGAAGTCTTCAAAATAGTTTCCTACATTGGCACGTTTCTCAGTTTAAACAGCTGCTGATTTATGTATTTACAATATTTCTTTCTCTATTCCAGGATGTTCAAATATCAAAAGAACACCAACGTGTTCAGCCACGTTCCACGTCTATATCATCACGTGGTAGCATATCAACTGTGTCACGTGGTAGTATAAAGAGTGACCCATTTGCAGGTTATGAAGACACGAGTAGTATTAGTGCACGGAGTGACACGAGCGTAGATAGCTATGGTTTTTATCCTTCATTTGGTAAGTTTTTAAAGTCCAATTACAAAAGTCGAAACAACATAAATATGCGTTTGTCAATGCAGGAAGAACGCATTGTATTAATATATTTTTGGTGTAATATAAATGAGTTAAGATATCGTCACACTAAGTGCAATAACTGGTAAACTAACTGGTTAGAAGGACTTAACTTGTAACTTCCGACTTTACATAATACCATCTTTTCTGTTTCGGTAGCACACCAAATGAACTAAGAACATTATAAAAAGCTCCAGATTTAAATTACACAATCAAAACAATTTGATAACCAAAGCCAATAGCTGATATTTATTCTATCATTCAAAACTTCAAACCAAAAATGAGAACATGTTTTAACTGCTACGTTTCAGGTGCTATTCGACCGGATTTGTATCCGAGAAAAGACGCTGTGTTACAACAATCATCTGTAGATAGAAGTTTTGGACGTCTTCATGTACGTCTGAAGTATGATTTTAGGACGTCTGATCTGGTGGTTCATTTGATTGAAGGTATGATTCCTTCTTTAAAGCATTTGTTCTTAGAATATTTAATCATAAAAAAATAAGAACTGATTTTGGTTTCCTGGCGTCTTAGGAAGCTCAGAGGGTCGATGGGTCTTCTCAGATGCATGACATAATGCACAGAAGTGTCCTCCTTCCAAGCAATCATTTCCTGACGTAATCTCATATTAACTCCTTTATTGTTTCTTGTTTATTAATAAATATGTAAATTATTAGCTGTAAATCAGTTGTATTTCTTTGTCTTAAGTGAAAACAATTTCTTCCTTGGAAATAAGTTTTGTATTTATTTTCATTCTTGTGACAGATTTGAAAATATTTGAAATATTTCATCTTGAATACTAAAAGTCATCTATAAGAAACATAAGAAATTAAAACAAATGTGATCTTTATATTATACTGGTTTCTCTCATTTATTGGAAATTTATTCATATATATCACCAACGCTGCACAACGCTGCATGTAATATGTGGCAGACGACAAAACATAAAATCTGACAACTAAGTGCATATTCATCAACTTCTTTTTTTTTGCGATTCGAAATAGTCCTAAATACTTAACCTTTGTTTTAATAAGGAATCTGTGAATAGTACCGAATTTTAAACCTTTGTTTTTTAATAATGGTTGAAAATGTCTTTAAAATTCTCTGGAAATTGTAACACGTGAATAATAGCAACTAAGTGCATATTTATCAACTACAAAATGCAATTTTAATTCCTTAAAGAAGTTCTGTAAAATACTAAACCTTTGTTTTTAATAATGGTTGAATACGTCTTTGAAATTCTACGGAAAATGTAACACTTGAATAATAGCTATGCAAAGTACTGGAGTCGAGAAATCTCGTAAAACATGGTAAAACTAAGCCATTCATTAAATTAAAGAATAATAAATGACTAGGAAATGCTGTCAAGACCAATAATTAGCTTTTTTATGTCTTCTTATCTTCTTTGTTTATGTTGTAAATCACACTAAATGTGCGGAATTTAGAACCTTTATTGTCTAACATGGCTGTCTTTTTATTTGAGTGATCACTTTTTTCTTGTAATATACGGGTGTATATTTGTTTACTCAGCAAAACATGTCAATATTAGAATTTCAGATCCGAAGAAATCTTAGAAGTGGAAACCTTTTTGAAAATAGATAGACATTTCTTAAAATGGTTTATCAACATTCCTTGGTGAATATGTTGACAGATTTGAAATTTTAAATACTTCACTTTTATGGAAGCCAACTTAGTGTCGTATGTTTATTGTTTATTTGTTTGTCTAAATGTCACCTCAGATTATTTCCTCATATATTTTAATCAATGCATATATTTATAATTGGACAAAGTGTTTTATCTATTTCTTTTCATTAGCACAAGATCTTCCGCCGCGGAAAAAAATTGGGTTTCCCCGATGGTGGTTTTTAAATGATCCATTACATCAAAATTTGCATAGGGAAAAATTTGTCGACGAAAAACGCGCCAGTCATTTGGAAAGCCCCAAAACGGGCAAAAACCCCTTTTATAAGAGTATTTTAAATTTTCACATTAAAACCCAAAAAATCTTTACGGATTTTTTCATATGATTTTAAAAAGGCCCCCCAAAAATTTATTTGGGGAACGGATAGATCTTTGAAGGTGGGGAAAAAAGAAAATGTGGGGAAATTGGGGATAACAGAAAAAAAAAAACCCGGGAAGATACGGTTTCACAGGGTTAAGAAAAAAAAGGGGGCAATATTTTTCTAAAAACAAAAATATTTTCATAAATTGGAAAAATTTAGAATATATTTTTAAAAAATTGGGCGGGCAATATTTTAAATTTAATTTTAAATAACAATTTTTAATTTTTGGGGGTTTAAAAATACCAAAGTATATTTATTTTATAAATATGTTTTGATGTATTATTCTGTGAAAGGAAACACATTTTTTGTCCTAAAAAGTAGTCCAAAACAATTTCGTTATTGAGGAAAAAACTCGTTGGCAAATCAGCAGAATCCACTAACTCTGTATGGTATTCTAAGAACTAATAAGATGTAGATATAAATATATAGATCTAATATGAAAAGAATGTAAAATGATATTACTAGTCTCATAACGGTAATAACTTTTAGCTGGACCCGTCGTGAAAACTTCACCTCCTTCCGGTCTAATCTATAAACGTGTTGAATTATGGGTAATAACGTAATGGATTTCTTCCATATTGGGCAATAAAATATTTGCCGTTGTTAATGTCATATTCCGTTGGCTTATAAATCATTTTACCCATAAAAGAACGAAATATTCCAGAAACTATTATAGACGGACAGAAAATATTATTGTCATAACATAACTGTAGTTAACGTCGCTTAAAGAACGCTGAGACAGGAGTCCCAGAATTGCCCTTTTTGATAATTATAAAGCACATTTTAATTTTGTCATTCGAAAACTTGATGTTTATTTTAGTGTCATTTTATGTCGTGTTCTTTATATATTATGAAAATTACTGTTAAACTGATAATTACTGCCACCATAATTTAACTTAGTCTATCAATGTTGAATCAATATGGTCAATCCTACAATTATGTCATACTGAATGTCAAAAAAAATGGAAACCTTTGAAAAACGCACAAAACGTCAAAATTGAAAATGCTGCGTTTGGGACTGTGTTTGTTTATTGGCGGAAGTTGGTGTAATCGCTTTTGTCACCGCCCCTTTAGCACCGGCGAAAAGCAGAATTTAACATGAACATTGTTATTCAAAACGTATTTCGAAAACCGAAGATGTGTTCACGTGGTGGTAATTCAATCTTCTATGTTATATTAAATATATTTTTTTAAAAGTTGCTTTTTTGTTTCATACAGCAAGAAAGTGCTGAACTTGGAGAAATCCTTCTATCATTGAGTTACTTGCCTACGGCTGAGAGATTAACAGTGGTTGTGATGAAAGCCAAAGACTTAAGAGTACCAGTTACAACGCCATCTTCAGGTGAAATATTTGTTTCAATTTAATTGTGTTCATATATTTGTCTTGAGATATGTTTCATATCATAGACAAGTTTGTTACAAGATGATAAAAATGTTCGCAATTTATTGTTTTTGTATATGACGTTACTCATTAGTTAACAATTCAATTTAATTAAACTACATGTGCTATCTAAATGGAAGTACCCAAAAATGTCATAGAATATTAAATATGAATTTAAGCTGATGTGTCGGATATGTTATATCTTTCGTTCTAATCCATTTCATCATTGTATATATTGAATGATTGTATATAATTATGTACTGTGTATGATTATGAATAAAATATGTTTAAACTTAGCTGATGTGTCTTTTTACCTCTCTTCTTTATTGTAAGTAAAGATTTAATTAGCGATGAATACATTTGCCAATATCCTTTATCGCAAGGGAATGGTCAGCAGATTTTAATAAAGTTCTGGATCCAATAATTTTTTTTATATATTCGTAATCATTAGAAATTGCTTGTTTGCACATATAGTTATTTACAATTTCTTTTTCGTTAATGCTACATTTTCAGAGCTTTGTATGTTATAAATTATTATCAACTGTTTTCTTACAGATCCTTACGTAAGGATAACACTAATAGTGGATGGAAAGAAAGTTAAACGGAAGAAAACAAGCGTTATGAAAGGTACACATAATCCAGTCTGGAATGAAGCCCTTTCCTTTAATATACCTGCTGAACTGTTGCCAAAGGTCATGTTAGAATGTCACGTGGTTGACAACGACCTTATAGGTCATGGAGAATTTGTCGGCTCCTGCGTTATTGGGTCAAGGAGGACAGGAAACGAGGGCAAACATTGGAATGATATGATACAAAACCAACGTAAATCTATGGCCATGTGGCATGCTCTGCATAAATAGACAACATCACGATGGACCTTATATGTACATGTATATAGTGCCTAGTAGGGTGGTCTTTTTTTGTGTCGTCTGGCCACTCTTAAATTCCAGGCTAAATGTGTTTAATTTGATATTTGTGTTCTCAACATAAATATTAATTACAAAGCGATATATATATCAAAGTGCTAAGAATTAGCATTGTCGAAAGATCTGTGTACCCAGACGACATAATATTTCTTTAAACGTATAAAAATGCTTTAATGTAAAATCATCTTGTTTCTATTTAAGACTAATCTACTTAATACATACTATAGGGCAAATATGTTACAATTCTTTTGATACCTTGAAAAAAAACATATTTCTTAAACCAGATTGATTTCACTACATTATGTCTTTATGCATCCATCGTAGTTGCTTACTTAAATAAAATTTACCCAAATGACAAAAAAAGTATGTTACTTGATTTTAATATGTTTAAAAGTCGTGATACATTTAAAAATTAAAATTAAACTAAATTTATATTATTTAAAAATGGTAAACCCCCAAATTTTAATTTTCCCCCTTAAAATCAAGTTTTTGAAACCATACTTTTATAATTTAAAAAATGTACTTTTTTACATTTTTTATTTTTAAAAACGCTTTGGGGAAAAAACCTTTTACATTTATAGAACTATGGATCATTGAAATAATTCTCTTTGAAAATTTTCATAAAATGCTGGTACAAGCATAAAAACATTCAGTAGTAATGAAAATAGCGGTGGTCAATCAATCGGTACCGTGCACGGAGGTTGCGAGGTGAAAATGAAGAACCTTAGAAATAGCTTAAGATAGCACATTAGATTTAAACACTCTACAAAAAGACATACTAGTCATAATTTTAAGTAATGTGTTTTCTGTGTTTTGCCTATTTCTTGGATGAATTTAACAGCAACCAATTAGGTTTTTGTAAGAATCTTTTTTGTACAATTTGTTAATTATCTAAGGTGCAACTTAAGTTATAAAATAATTGTTCTTGATACTACATGTAAACTTTTAAAATCAGGTTAAGAAAAATAAAAATTTTCACCTCGTACTCTCCACTTATTATTAATATTTTATATTTTTCACATGCACATTTTTATAATAATAATACTTAAGTTTGGAACTCACTTAAAATTAATTTTGAACACAAGGGATTCCCTTACCAGCTCTGGAAAGTGAAAACATAGAGTGAACCCCCTATGATTCTACAAAGCCATTTTACATTAAACTAATTGTTAAATCGTGTTACATTTAACATAAATGATACATCGACATGTTTAAGTTCATGTTTGAGAGCCATCGCATCAAAATGTACCATTCTTTTATTTCTTAGTATTAAAAGCATTCTCGCATTGCAATATATTATAAATAAAATAACATGAAAATGAATATAGATTTATGAATAAAATTTAAAAGAAATAAAATATTTGATACGTCAATATAAAAGATATTCTGCGTTAATTATTTTACTGTATTTGTCAGGAATATATGTAAAATACGATGAAATTTACGTTTTGATTGGTGATCTTACATGTAAAATGTTTATGTAAAAAGTTTTATTATTCAGTTAAATGAATTGAATGAATTGTTTGTGTTCACATTGTGCTGATATTTAGATAAGTATAAAAAATATGTTTGACAATGTCATAACCAGATATCTTTTAACATTCACGTTTTATCTGAATCTCTTAACAACATTATTTTGCACACAAATACAATTTATATATATTCAAATATAAAATATAATTCTGATATGACCAATGTTATATTTATCATAAATGTTTTATTGTATATCACAGAAAATTCTTATGGTATATTTTTGTGTGAATAAAGAAATAAAAAAGAAAATATATTTTTTCTCGATTTTATTTGCAATATATGTGAATTCAAATAAAATCTTGTTTGAATTTTTTTGATTTTCAAATGTTAGCAAGTGTTCACTATCAAATTGGGGTAATTAGACCATTTAGGGTTTTTTTTACAAGAAATATGATCAGTTATATCGATTATTAAGAATAAAATCCACATATATTATGTCATCCTTGAACTCTGTCTGTGCCGTAAACAACATAAAGTCTGCAAAAAATGCAACTTGCTTTCCTATTTGAATAGTAAATTCTTACATTACATATTTATGTAAACTAATGAAAACGTATCACTCTCTAAGACCATCATTCATCCAAGTTAAAGAATAATTTCAAAAAACATTGCCAAAAAAGCTCAGTCTAGTCATTTAAATGAGTTAAAAATAAAATAAACTATAATGCAAAATCTTTATTTTGATAATACCTTTTTAATAAGAAATAATTTCGATTTTGAGAAAATAAATTAAATTTTGTCATATCGTGAACCGAATGTCAGAAAGTCTAGTAATGCATGGGAAATTTCCCTTTCCTTAATAACGACAAATAAATAAATCAGGAATAAAAACTATATATATTTTATGTCATTTAATAGTCTCTGTCTGTGCCGTAAATAATAGAAAGTCTAAAAAATATACAACTTGCTATCCTATCTGAATAATACATTCAGGCTTTGCTTAGTTTTGTAAAATAATGAAAACCTATTACTCTTGAAGACCGTCATTCATCCAAGTTAAAGAATGATTTCTCTCCCAATGTGTCAGATTTCTTCTATTAATAGCTACTCTCAAGCGTTTTTGTCTTGTCAAACAATAAACAAAATTTTTTTGCCAGCGAGAAAAACAACAACGCAATTTGATAATAATTTAGGTGTAAAGACTTGTCTTCGTGTTGCATTCCCAAAATGAATAACTCTTTATAGGTTATTATCAAAGATTGATAATATGAATTTGTATTCTCATATCGGTTATTACTTTCAGCTTGAATCTTTACCTCCTTCAGGTTTAATCTATAAACGTGTTGAATTATGGGTAGTATATTATAAATGTCATGGATTTGTTCTTATTGGAAAATAAAGCTTGGCCGTTCCATTCTCTTATAAATCTTAAATAAACGAAACATTCTCGAGACATGAGCAAGTGGACGGTATGCTTAAAGGTTAATATATATATATTGTTTATATATATAATATAATTCTGACATTACCTTATGGTATATTTTGTGTGAATACAGAAATATATATACAGAATATATATAAATATTTATCGATTTTATTATTCAATTTAGTGATCTCTCTCTCTCTCTCTCCCCCCCCCTCTCTCTCTCTCTCCCTCCCTCCCCCCCTCTCTCTCTCTCTCTCTCTCTCTCTCTCTCTCTCTCTCTCTCTCTCTCTCTCTCTCTCTCTCTCTCTCTCTCTCTCTCTCAGATTACTGCCATTATTTGAGTTTTGACAAAAGCTACCCATAAGCATTTTTCCTTTTAAAACAATAAACAAAATTTTTGCAAGCAGAAAAACAAGTCAACAATTTGTTAATAATTAAGGTGAAAATGCTTGCTCTGTGTGTTACATTCCTAAAAATAAATAACTCTAAATAGGTTATTACAGAACCTTTAACGTTTTATATCTTAATTTGATGCTCAAATTAAGATGTATCAATATTGCAAGTTCCAAAAAGCATTATTAAAAAAGATATTACCGAATTTAAAATTATATGTGAATAAAGTGAGGTAATCAGAAATTTATTTTCTATTAAGTCTAAGCCATTTTTTTTTCAATAAGAAATGAATGCATTTATTTTAATGATTACATATAATGTGCACAAATATTTGCAGTACATATTTTACCATTCTTCGATGTTGGAAATGTTTTATAAGCATAATTATATACATATATACAATTTCACTTAAGTGCGGTAACAACCTCAATTAACACATGCAGGATCTTTAATAAAGATTGGTATTACGCATTTCTATTCTCATATCGGTAATAACTATTAGATTGAATCTTCACCTCCTTCCGGTTTAATCAATAAACGTGTTGAATTATGGGTAATAATGTAGTGGATTTCTTCCATATTGGGCAATTAATATTTGTCGTTTATTAATGCCACATTCAATTCCCTTATAAATCATTTTGCCCAACAACATAAACGTAATATTCTCGAGACATGAGCAAATGGAGGGTATGCTTAAATGTTAATAAATATATATACCAGGATATGACGTATATAATGATGAGTGCAAAAATGCCTTTAGGTTGACTGAAATTGACTGGAATGATAAACAATTTCATCATCATTTTAACATTATAAACGTTGTCTGCTGCTATATATTTTATGACATCAAGGTCAATATAAATCATAAAATAACAATGTTAAGTCTGGAAATGCTACAGCGGAAATAGCTTTATTAATAAAACAAAGCTTTAAAAAGATTTTATGCTGCAATGGCAAATATAGTCAAATCAAACCAAAATTATATCAATCAAAAATGTACACTGTTCTTTCCAAATTATTTATATGGTAAAAAATACATGTATTTAACATGTTCAAAAATATTAAATGCTTATATTGTATTTGGTATTATCAAAAGTATTATCAAAGTAAGTAAGTAAGTAAGTAAGTTAAGTAAGTAAGTAAGTAAATTTAACACTGACAAAAACAGAGTAAGAGATTAAATAAACCGGAATGTTCACAATCTCAAAACTAACAGAACAAATTGTGTGGTTGTTTTGCCATCTTTCATAGAATAATGATACTAAGGCCGCTTTTCTCATTGATAAGTAGAGCAAGACAGCAGTATCTTCACAGAATATTACTTCAGCCCCGACTCATTGCTTCAGGCCTTGCCTCTTCTATAAGTTACTTTGACAGATTTTTCATCCTAAAAGAAGCATACTTATCTTAACAAATAAAACGTTCTTTGCTATATATTGCAAATATGTAATGCCAGAATGAATACAGCAAGTTGCATACTTTGCAGATTTTCTGTTATTTATGGTACAGACAGAGGTAATTAGATGACATAAAATATCTAGTTTTTATTCAGGATTTACTTATTCGTCGGTATTAATGAATGGCAAATTTATCCTGTATTACTAGACTTTTTGACATTTAGTTCACAACATGACAAAATTTTCATTTTTTAAAATTAAAATCGAAATAAATTCTGAGGTATTTTCTAAATAAAGATTTTGCATTATATCAAGTTTATTTACAATAACATTAAAATGACTCCATTGAGGGTTTTTTGACAATATGTTTCGAGATTTGTTTACCATTAAACGAAGGTATGTGCCAAAAATTTCAGTTCATTGCCTCTTTGCGTATTTTTTTTTAAATATTCTGGTGAAAAATACGCCCAAAAATAAACATTGTTTAAACTTGTTACAATAGTTTTCAACAAAAGTGTAACAGCAATGAGTAAGAAAGCCAAATAAAACGCATATGTGTACTTTTACATGCACACTTGCAAAAGCTACAAATGTTTGTATTGTTTCGGTATTGACATTAGTATAAAATTTACAAACATATGTTATGCCTTTTGTTTTAATATTGAC